ATGCACATTGTGCATTATGCACAATCAATGTACGCGAACGACCTTGCAGTCAGTGCATCTATCCTATAGACAAGATATCTCAAGTTACGCGTTTTCACTCGACTGATTGTTGTTGGAAGTCCTGTCAAGGAACGATCTTGTCTGTCTCGAGCTGTCCTTCCGCTTCTTCCAGTAGTAAATTCCGTACGAGAATGCCACCATGACGACAAACATGCAGACGATGACAGCGACCTGGAACGCAGGGAGATTTCCTTAACCCTAGAACGCCTAGGGGGGGGGTTGTATCAACCCCCCCCCCCTGAGGTTTTTTCGAAGTGCACGCTAAACGGCTTGTCGTAGCGGGCTGAAATTTTCAATACCCTCTGGGGCAACCTTTGCGCATCTTTTGCCGAAAAAAACTGATCGGGTCATGTCAGGTCACGGAGTTATGACGTCATAAGAGGTACAGCCTCCGGCCGACAGTTACCAAACGTGTGCGCCGAATCCCTAGGTTTTCTGCCGGTGATACCCACATTGTTTGATGGATCATGATGAAACTTCCCATGCATGTTGGGGCAAGCATTGGCTATCGTGTGGTGCAAGAAAATTGACCGGGTCAGGTCAGGTCACGGAGTTATGACGTCATAAGAGGAACAGCGTCCGGTACTATTTTTGAAAAGCGCCCGAACCACTATTTTGCTAATTCTTGTCACCTCAATGGGAATATGCAGCAATATTAGCTTCTATAAGGAGCAAATGGACCTTCCAAATCCAAAAATACAATCAGATTTCAAAAATTTAAATTTTGATTTTTCGAATTTCTGCCGCCGACTGTGACCTTGCCGACTTCCGGCGCTCCCAACGCGCCATTTTTAGAGCTAGGGAAACGAAATACATAGGGGAGAGCGGGGAGAGTTGTATCATGTCCAAGTTGTATCAGGGCGAATTGTGCCAAACTTATCCAATAGATGGCGCTCGTGAAACGACCAGCCGACGAGGTTTTCCGGGCGCAATCTTTCCCTGTTCTGTCGTGTGGCTGGGTGGACGCGTCTCGAGGTGAGAGCCGATTTTATGTTTCTCTAATGTCATTCTAAAAAAATAAGTTGCAAGAAAATGTGTGTTTTGGGCATTTAGATGTGCACGAATTTGAAGGATCTCCGTAGCGGTGGTGAGGGTAGGTTCTAAGGCTGCGTGAGTGAAAATGGATTTCTCCAGCTGTCCGCTGTTTTTGAGCACGAGGATGTTTTTTTTCCAAGATGGCGGCGAGGTACATGTTGTATCAGAGCCGGGTGGGGTATGTTGTAACATGTATGTATGTATGTATGGGTATGTTGCTTTTGATCGCGAAAGCTAAGCCCTGGCTCGCGTTTGTAGATAGCTAGTCAATACTCGTTCCATTTCGGCGCAATGTGTTGGCTTCTTTGCTCTTAACGAGCCACTTTTGCGTCTAGTCTGTTGATGTTTCGTTCGTTTGACGTTTCGATGTTTCGTTCGGATTGCATTGACCTAAGTTTGGCCTAATAAAAGTAAAGCCTTTGAGCATATACATTGTATTAACCCCATTTAATGTTGTTGTTATGTTCAAAGCTAGTAGAAAGCACACACCCTGAAACGTGAAATAGTGATACAAATTACCCCACCATGTGATACAACTCACCCAAGCCATGGGGCAAGTTGTATCAAAAACATTGTTCTATTCGGCAGACCGTAGAAGAAAAACTGGTAGAGGTAACGGAAAAGTTACTTGGCACGAAAAAGCAGAAGAATCAGGGAAGGAGATAGTATGGAAATGATGAGTTTATCACGGATAGTTACGAGGTTATGGGTCTCGGAGTAAAAACTGATACAACCCACCCCACTCTCCCCTACCAAACGATAGAGCATTGATCAAGGAACACGATAGTGAAGGTTTCAAGTCGATATCTCCCACCGTTTTGCCGCAATCGCCGCGGAAAGTTGAAAAAAGTCTATTTTTCCGAAAATTTGACCTTTGACCGGTCAAAAGTAGGTCAAATGTTGACCTAGGACCAGAAAATATACCACCAATCGCGAGATCTCGTTGAGAGCAATCCGTTGGTTTTTTCCGCTAAGCTCTACGACCTTCCGTTTCGAAACGCCAGGGGGGGTCGTAACACCCCCCCCCCCCTGGTCGTTCGTGTTATGAGAAATGGCCTGGTCGTGCGAGGGTTAAAATCACTTGATAGGGGCATTTTAGATTGACAGGAAGTGTGTATGAATGTTATGAATGTATTTATTGTGAAAATATGATCAAGGTCAATACAAAAAATATCAATCCAAAATATCAATACTTTGTGAAACGCAAAAGTAACTCCGCCTGTAGCAGGTATTTGCTTGATCGTGTATCCCCGTGTTACTTTTTTACAAGAGTTATCTTATCAAAGCTATACCATTTTCTCATATACCCTCAAATTAACCGGCGCCCTGGTGGGGTCTGTTTATAACGCGACCTGGTGGGGGGGCTATTTTTTGCCCCCCCCCCCCTCGTATCTCCGAAACTACTGGACGGATCCGCAAAATTCAAACGGCGTTCGAAGGGCCTATCAAATTTGTCGAGGGAAACCAAGTTTCATTGACCTCGGGGTCACCGATGACGTCACAGGTCAGGTCAAAGATGACATGTTTCACCGTTCACGGGTCATCTAGGGAATGCGCTATAACACCGAAGAAATCGCATTTTGTCGAGATTCAGCGATAGGGCGTCAGTTGCCTAGTAGATATGTTGCTATTAGAGGTCACTGACAATACCAGGTCAGGTCACAGGTCAGGTCACCAAGGGTCACAGGTCAGGTCACATGAGCCCAACTTTACTAAGGTTGTGTGATGCAGTTATGGCCAATTTTTCATTTCCAACTCAATGGTGTTGGTTATAAGACTATCAGGTATGGCTTAGGTCACTTTCTGGTGAAGTTCAGGTCAAGGTCAGGTCAAGGTCAGGCCAAAAAAGGTCAAATTTTAAAGTTGATATTTTTGCATAAAATGGGTATTGATTCGATGCAGCTCGTCACGGGGAGTCTAATGGTGTTCTTTGTTTTGCGCTACGGGGTCTAGAATGGCTAAAAATTGAGTTTGAAAATTTGACGTCATCAATTTTGAACAGTTTTTTCGCTGTAACTTCGCCAAAAAAAGAGGTATCAATCTAAAATTTGGTATGTGGGTGGAAGGCGGTAAGGAATATCACATATATTCCGGTTTTTGCTAAATTAAAAAAACTTTTTGGATTTTTCGATGATTATATCCAAAAAAATTATTTTTTGATTTTTAGGGGTCAAAATCCAAAAATTTAAAAAATCCGAGATACCAGTTTTGTAGCCCTGTCAATTCTACAGCTTTTATGTCCTTATCATTTTTCTGTATTTGCAAAGCTATAGGCCTGACAGCTCTTCCCGCGAAACCCTTTTTTGGGTCGAAAACGGCAGAACATGACGTCACTCTGACGTCATTTCCGGCCAACCTATCATAGCCTTTGGAAAAATTTTTGGTCACAATGTGTAAAATTGATGTCCGGGAGGGTACTGAAAGTTTGGTGACGATCGGCGCAGCGGTTCTGGAGATATATTAAAAAGTCTAGAGGGGGGGGGGGGCAAAAAATAGCCCCCCCCCCCACCAGGTCGCGGGTTAAGGCAGCAATGTCCGGTAGGTACTTACTTCGGATGCGTGTCCTTCCTTATGTCTCAGAATCCTTTTCTCATTGGGGGAGTTTGGATCCTTCTCAGTAACTCTTGGTTTTGGGTTGGAGGTCACAGTATCTTCAGCCGACTCGTTTGATCTTGACTGCAATTTTGCATGTTCAAGATCTGTTCGCAAGTTTAGGAGCTGCACTTGTTTTGCAAGAAAGTCTATAAGCTGCGCAGAAGAATGGTTACTTGTCATATTCATAGAGCGTTGAAGCATTTTAAAGGGACTAGCATGTTGTTTAGGTGAATGATTTAGCAGCATTTTCCCGTGGTTTGACATGAGTGCGAAGGGATGAAAACTCGAGAAGTGTGATTCATTGGGAGATTGTTCTTCATGGTCACTCATGTATTCCTGTTTGATCGTGTCCATGGGAACTTTGGGCACAATGTTTCCATAGCTGGTCTGAGTCTCGTTGCCAACACTGAATCGCCCAAAGCGTTCTCGATTCTCCGATTGGCTTCTAAGCATGCGCATCTGCTCCAACCACAGGGGGAGGTGACGAGCAGAAATGTGCGGGATGAAAAATTGAAAGCATAATATCAATGTAAAAATCATCTTCAGTTGGTGTGCACTGATACTCAAAGGACACCGCCAGGCATTAGGCATTGGAAAAATAATCTAATGATTTGTGGCAAATTTAACAATTTACCATGTTTCTAATGGAGCTCTCACGGTCGAGCTTTCAGCACAAGAGAGCTTCGAAGTTGTTAAACTTTCTAGCATTGCAATGCCTGCAATCCACGGCAGGATCCAGTGAGCAGAAAATAATTAATTCAGCACTTTGTCGATCAGAATAGGCTCCGCCGCTTTTGTAACGATTGGCGCTGCTCGGCTGGCCGCTGGCAACCATTTGAAATTCGGTGACAATCATATAGCCCACGTGAATGTAGACAGAGGCCTCTTGCACCAAACTACCTAGCTAGGTAAAATCGAAAAACCGGTTTCAGAATAAGCTAATCTAACGGTGGTAAATTTGTTTGCAATAGCCCAATACATAATCCTACATGTGCTTGCTAAATTTTGCACGCAAATTGTTACATTTGAGACTTGGACTGGGTATATACGATGCAAAATAATCCAAGCATTGGTGCAAGAGGATTTTGGTGCAATAGGCCTCAGGACGATCCTTTGATGAGCCCTCTGAAGCTGGAGGAGTATAGGCTATAACGTAAGTTTGCGTCTCAGCTAGACAATTGAAGGATCGCACGGACGGCACGGACGATCGGTCGAATAAATGGACGAATCAACAAACGTCTGACTCGACCTCGCCTAATAACCTAACTGAAGCTTATGCGTCTCCGGTCAGCACAGGGCGTCGATGAGTGATGTGTGCGCCGAACTGGCCGCAGCGGTACCAGATGCGCCACTCTGGCCGCCGCGGACCGGGTGCGCCGAGCTCGCCGCACTGGTACCAGGTGCGCCGGACTGGCCGCAGCGCGCCACGAGCGCCACCTGCGCGGTACCGTGCCGGTGCTCGCGCTCATGGTGGCCCCTCAGTGCCGACCACCAGCGCTGTACGAGTGAGGTGTGTGCCGCGTCTGTTCCGCGGAGCAGCGAAGCGTGCGGTCTGTGTACCAAGTGGCTGGACGATTGTTTGAAAAGAAGTATTGAAGGACCGCACAGTTGCGTAGCGTCAATGGTCTCTGAAATCGCTTTTAGACGCATTCCGTGAAATGGTGATCGTTTATTGAATAATGGCCCGTTGGTGATACTCAACAGCGTCTTACGTGTAACTAGTTTTTTGAGAAGATGACGTCCTCAAGTTCAGTATCCGCCGCCAACTGGTGTCGTATTCGGGAAGAATAACAGCAAAAAGAGTCAAGATGACAGCAGGCAACGCAAAAGTCACTTGATTAGGAACTTCTGGTGTGCCATAGAGCGCTGCACGGAAGACGTATTAGATTCTGAGTTCAGATGGTCCGTAGCAAGCCGATTACCTCGTGAAAGCTCTGTCTGCAACATGCGTGTCACCGGTCTGACACTGATCTGCTGCATCACCCTCGGACATCTAGCCGTGGCAATTAATTGGCTGTAAGTAGGGGAGAGTGGGGCAAAGCGGCCACCCTAACGCTTCTCACGATGCCAAAGCTTGATTTTTAAACTTGGAAAGATTCTTTCTATACCATTGTGATCCCTATTAAGTTGCCTTTTATTTCAACTGCGTTTTATTTCCAAAGGCGTTCACATATGAAAGATATTGACAAAACTTTAAACCTATGCATATTGGCCACTTTGCCCCATACCCAGGGGCAAAGCGGCCACCGGCGTCTTCTCAAGTCCCGATATGAGAAACAAAATAGTTGTCTTGTGTACGACTACGGTATTTGATGGTGACAAGGTTAAGCGCGGATGGATGTTTACTTTATCATCTTCCACCCGTAGGTAAACAAAGAAAGGATTTTCATGAAAATAAACATTGAATTGCATTATTTGGTAACTCATGCAACTGAAAACTGGCCAAGATAATTGCATGACGACACATTTGAATATAAATTATGTTTTTTATCCAGATGGAAGCAACTTATGGCCAATTGGGGGGTGGCCACTTTGCCCCGGCCACTTTGCCCCGCGCATACCGTCCGAGACAAAAATATTCCAGCTTAGCTATTAGTGGGGTAAAAAACATTAAAATTGGTAGAATACATGTACAATAACCATGCAATGCATGGACAAGAATGCTTATAAAAATTCCAAACGGTTATGGAATAACATAACATTTAAAAATTGTAAACATAGTTGGTAACCTGGCAAGAAATGCTTTTCCGTGTTTCACAGAACAATGGTGATGGGCCTGAAACCCCGGTCTGGCTCATTCGAACGACCGTGAAGAGAAGTATAATTGGAAACCATAAATTGGAACTGACGCCAGTCATGAAGGGCTAAAACGATGGGTGGCCGCTTTGCCCCGGGTGGCCGCTTTGCCCCACTCTCCCCTACCGCATTTCTGTAAGCACAGACGACCCAGTCATATGCCAAGCCGAGGGTCCGCACCGAGCATGCTCGCAAGTTCTTTTATTACCGCGCCTGTGACGTTTGGAACTCGCTGCCAGCAGACATTCGGTCGTCACGCACGTCGGCCACTTGTCGCAGGCGTTGTCGACGATTACTCAATGGTGACTAATCACTGTGCGCGTAGCTTTCGGTCATTTGTACCGATATGCATTTTACTTTTTAAGTCCCATGCTTTTCATGGTTTTTACTTTTAGCTTTAGTGTTTATTTTAGCTTTATATATGTGCCTACCTATTTACTGTATGACACTTGGACTGAAAAGCCGTGAGTGCATGGAGCTTCCAAACGAAATAAATGATGATGATGATGAAGCATAAAAGTACTGGGAAATAACTGTTGAATATGATCTAAAAATCAAAAGAAATCTCATCGAATTGCCTATTCAGTGCTTCTTCCTGCCCATCGCACACACCTCTGTGCATGAACATTAGAAAACCGTTCGCATTGATTTAATTTCTACAGCAATGATCATGCTATTTTTGACTTATTCAGTGGCATTTCATGTTTAAGATATTCTTCTCTCTTTCTGGCCAAAAAGGCATTTTTCGATATTTTTATGCTGATATTCAGCATTTAGTGTGAATCGCGGCTGCTACTTCGTGGTGGCCGATTTGCTTGGCATGCAGACATTTCTGAAATGTTCGATCTTTCACCGGTGCCCGGTTCACATGTCCATATTTGCCGCTGTCTTGGGTAGCCTCTCGTGCAGAAAGAGCCCTGTAATTAGTTTCATATAGGCTCACCGTGCCGCATGACTTCTGTGGAACCGAGTTACACTTAGTGGACCATGAAGTGGTGCGTGTTAGACCGGAGGAACGGTATGCGGCGCGGTTAGCGTTGAATAGCACCTTTAGCCAGCTAAATCGGCCCGTTGTGCGCTCAAGCTTGTCACCAATTTGAATCTAATGGTTCCTACACGAAAGGGCTCCAGCGAGGTGGTCTGTGAGCTCTTGTTAGCTAGTTTAGGGATTTGTATATTTCTTGTTCTTGCAAGGTCGAGCATGCAAAAGGAAGGACGGTAAAGGTCATACCTTAGATTAAAGGTGTTTGGGTTTGGTGAATGTCTAATCTATCGCCTGATCTACCTGTTCAGTGATCTATACTGTCTTTGTAGAGAAATCATATAATACACCCCAATAAACTAATCATGATAAGGTTTATCAAACCTTTTGCATGTTCCATCGGGCCCCATGAAGCTCAGTCCCAACATCAGAGTATACACGCCACTGAAATGGACGTTAGCTATGCAGGATCATGTTTACCGGACTATGCCTCCCCATCCTGGTCCTTTAGTAGTCCTATCTCTCAGCCGATACAACGGCGCCTATTTGTACACGACACGTAACGCCACTTACTTGGTGCATCTCCCGGTCAGAAATGAATTCTCAGAACTGATAACTCAATCACTTCGTACATCAGGTGGTGTTTGCACCAGACGAACATGCTTGCATTGCTTCACATCAATCTCTCCAAAGTGGGAGCGAATTTGTACAATTTGTCCAAATTAGACGCATTATCGATGGGTTACCTATGTATGTAAGCATTTCCTATGGATAAATGCTCGGGCAATCACTACCGTTAACAGTAAGGCATTTCCGAATAAATTAAATAAGCTCACTTAAGGCTCAAACCAACACTTTGCAACCGCCTATGTAAAACCCTTTGGTTTCGGTTTGGGTTTCGGTTTGGTTTTGAAAAGCCTTTGGTTTTGCCAGGGTAAACTTTGAAGATAAAAAACGAAAGACATACACGAAACTGCTGGCTCATTAGCGTCTATTAGCTCTAGGTCAATTTGATTTAGTCTTTTCCGTATCCACCCCTTCCCGAATAAGTCTTTCGAACGGGGCCGATGAGGTTCTCAGTAAGTAAAGCGCTCGCAGACCCAAGCATCAGCTCAAACACATACGAGTATATCCTATCAGTGCACAACCAAAATCGTCAAGGTATGGTCGCGGGCAGCTTTATTATTTGTTATTTGCAGTAATTGAAAGGATATTGCGGTCAGGACGTTCGTTCACGTTGCCATGTAAACAGAAACGCTGCGCCACAATGCTCCGATGTAGTGCGGTACAGCCTACTCATTTGACGTTTCTGTCACCGTCGGGCGGTCCTCGAGTCATACCCACCTACTTACAAGCTTACAGTGTGACAATGGGCTCGTTTGCAAAAAACGATGCACTGGAGACTATGGTTTTTGTTTGTTTGTTTGTTTTGTTGGGTTAGGCCCTTTCGGTCGACAAGACCATTGCAGAGCCGGAAGGATGATAGGAATTAGGGGGAGACATTGGTCTGGGCAGGCACCCTAGTGAGTCGCCGGGGCTGAGCCCGTCCAGAGGACAGGCCACCCAGCCCCAAGGCACTCACTGCACCCGGCTACGGGGTGCGCTCCCTCAGGAGCAGCGGTGCCGCTCCAAGGGAGCAGCCCGCATGAGATAAAGTTGCCTGTCCAGCCCGGAGGGGGGTTGCGGCGTGGAGGAGAAGATCCTGAGGATAGAAGCACGGAACGGTGTGGAGACTATGGTGGTCAGTAGTGCTTGAATTCTGAATATTCTATGCTCTCTTTTGTTATACACCTACGTTTTCAATATTCTAAAGAAACAATCAGCACTCAGCAGCTTCAGGACGAACATTAAGCTAAAACCTAACTTGTAATCAAACAAAGGCACCCCCATTATCACATTCCTGTGTTCCCTTCCCTCAAACCTATCTCTCTACTATCCCCTCTCTATTTTGCTTCAGAGCGCTGCGGGCCCTGTCGCCGTCTCCTTCCAGCGAGCTGTGGCGCTCGGCGGGCCTGTGTCGTCTGGCCGGCCGCCGCCACGGCCTGAACCGGCGACAGCAGCGGATCTGTCGCCGACAGCGGCACCTCATGCCGCACGTGCACGTGGCGGCGCTGCACAGTGTCGACACGTGTCAGCACGTGTTCCAGTGGCACAGGTGGAACTGCTCCAGTGTCCAGTTTGCGCCGAGGTTCGGCAGAGACTTGATGGCAGGTCAGTGTCGGGTACCATATTTGACGATCCGTGTTTGTTAATTGTTTGTGCATTTTGTCCCCCACTTTTTATCTGTGTTCTACGACGTTCATAGTATTTCAGATGCCAACAAATAAAGCCATAAATAGGCAGCCGACATGTTTTAGTAAAAAGGTCCGAATTTTAACGCACATCACAGTTCGTGTCATTTGAGTTTCTGGATTTACAGGCCATTTTTATGTTTATTCCCTCCTTTATAGATCACTCCGCAATCTGCATACAAAGTGGCGTATATTGATGCCGTTTCCCCATAGTTTTACCCCCATCTCTCCCTCAGGGACGCGGGAGCGGGCGGTGGTCCGGGCGCTCAGTTCAGCGGCTCTGGTTCGCTCGGTGGCGCGGGCCTGCAGCGCGGGGACCGTGTCGGGGTGCGGCTGCGGCCCCCTGCCACCGATCACCGCCCTCCCTCCTGCCCCTGTCGGCGCCGCTACCGTCCCCGGTTCAGACCCAGACGCAGAGGACGGCCCGTTCAAATGGGGCGGCTGCTCGGACCATGTCCCGTTCGGTCTGCGGACGGCGCAGAGGTTCACCCGAGGAGTGAGGCAGAAAAAGGCCGAGCCGCAGCTGCCGGCTGACCTGCTGTCTGTCCGGGTGGATCGGCATAACGACAGAGCGGGCAGGAAGGTCAGTGGCGGAGTGCTGAGCCCTGGCGGATACACCGCCAGCCGATCACTCGTAGGTATGAGCGTCATGCACGATATGAACCAGCACTGACAGGAGGGATGGATGAAATGCGGATTTAGCGACATTGCGCTGTCCGATTTATTGCCAGTTTTGATCGCTGGAGACGTGAGCTTATGCGCATCCGTCCTGTCAGCCGTTGCACTATGTGGGTCTTTGTCTAGCCATTCTAAACCCTACCTGTCAACCTGCCAACAACTCCAGCCGATCCGGATCGTCTGTCTACCAATGTTCCGAGCTGACCAGACTGTCCCGCTGAGCACCTTGACGGCCCTCCCAGGCTGTTTGACTGTTCTGCCGATCTCGCTCACTCCCCTCCTCAGGTCCGTGGCCGGTTAGTGACCCTCTCTCCTGCCCTCAGGCGGTTCATCAGTCTCTGGAGCGCCGCTGCCGATGTCACGGCGTGTCCGGCTCATGCAGTGCACGCACCTGCTGGCGCGCGCTGCCGCCGCTTCACGAGGTCGCGATGCGGCTCAAGGTGCGGTACGGCCGGGCTGCCCAGGTGACCCTGCGGTCCCGGCGAGGGCGTCGCCGCCTGGTGACCGTACACGCCGCCAGGGGCCGTCTGAAGATGACCGACCTGGCGTACAGTGACCAGAGTCCCGACTACTGTCACCGGGACGAGCGGTTCGGCAGTCTGGGCACCGAGGACAGGTGAGCCATCAGTCAGCGGCGGCGGTCGTGGTGGATGGACCCCGATGGATGGATGTGGGAAAACCTGCGATCGGCCTGTATAAAAGACCTGGCTCTTTGAATTGACGCCGCAAAAAGAATAGCTGGTTCATCGAAGTTGTGACGTGATTTCACAATGATCTTTTCAGGCAAGTCGTTGCCTGACGTTCCGTGACTTTCTATGCCCCGAAGATCACATGTTGAGTCCGAAAGAAACGGTTAACAACAAAACCATGAAAGTGCAAGCAATGGACGTTAGAATGTTGTGCAATGTGCAGTCAAATTTTATGTCCAAATTTCATCAAATTCGGACGCTGCGGAGGGGCAATCAGCTAACACACCGGTGCCTACTGCCCCATGGATCCACCAGTTTAACGCTACTCTTGCAACGGTGAACCTAGCAGCTCATCAATGTTTCGAAAGCTCAATTCATAGGCTTTCGTCCTTGTATCGTCAAATTCCTTGCGGTTGACATTCATTTTTATGCTCGGGGACTAATCCTTGCCATTGCTGACAGTCGCTCGACCGTTCAAGCAGATGATGAGGCATGGAAGATTTGTTTTTGAATTCCTCAGAGTCATCACCAATTCCCTTTCAGCTGCTGAAAATTGTTTCCAAAAACGAAGCTGTTTGCTGGTAGCATCTAAAAAGTGTTGCTTTCTGATTTTTTTTCCAACTCTAGCATTCTTTTTATAACAAAGCAATACTTCTAAACATATTGGCGTAAAGAATGAACTTGCGCTGCCAACTTGGTTTGGTGAAAGGAACCAACTGTTTGCGTGCAATGTATGTGCGTGTTCCTTGAGATTATGTTTTCATCCGTTTAATGTTCAAGGGCATTGACTTCTGGTGATGCAAGAGATATTTAGCGAAGGACTTTTGGCTTCATACTTGCGATACCAACGTTCAGTCACGAAGTATTCATTACGGTCGTAGTAAAGCGGTATCTGGTTCCACTACACCACCAAACTTCGACTTAGGGCAGAACATGAGGACAACGCTATTCTTGGATACCTCTGAGCTCGTGCCAGTTTCTCACAGCGCTGAAAATGGCTGTAGCTAAGCTCATGAGCTAATACTATCCCATCCTGAAAATCAGTTTTATGTGTCGTGAGGATGCTGATGCTCAACTAGCTCCGAACCCTGGATTCTGTCCTACATACCATAACGGTGCTTGTGGCTGTCATTAATTAACCCAAATGAACCGCGGAGTGATTCCTGCAGCGGGATCATGCTAGGCCCGCTCCAGCCGGTCTCATTGACCTGCCGATCGGAGAAGCTGTGCGGCGGCGGCGGCGCGAGACTCGCGGGCCCACGGCCGGCCTCGTCTCGGGGTCGCGGCTCTGCCGACGGTGCAGGCCGGCGCGTGGCTGCCGCCAATTAGCCAATGACGACTGCCGGGAAGCGGCCGGCCTGATGTGACTGCGCTGATGGGACGGGCTCGCCTGTCGACACCCGACTGACGAATGAGCCAGAACTTCGCCGAAAACCCCGCAACAGAGCCGGCGCAACAGTGCTCGGCCGTCATTAAAAACCTATTAGCTATGGCGTGTCGGGCAGCGCTCACACTTGCATGCCCATGGACATCCAAATGATGCACAATTATACCGTCACTTTGCATATGTTCTAGGAATTGAACCGAGGAATACTGCCGGCAGAAAGGTCCGTGTGCCGAATCTTTCATTGGTCTCATTTGTTTATTAGAGTAATGAGCGATGTTTGTCTGTCTATGTTTGCATATCGTGTTCAAACGGACATGCGGAATATTTATGGTGGCATTATAATCGTACCGTCGGTGGTGAATGGCACAGGCAGAGGAGAAATTATCGATTAACATGTGACCTTATGAGCTATTCAGTTCTGAATGGTTAGATAAATTATATTAGGCAAGAACGAATGCACCTGTGATCGAGTATGTGTGCGTTTTGGTTTTACAATTTCTTTGAATGTAAGAAAAGGACTAGTTAGTGTAATCAGGGCCGAAGCTTAAGTGTTAGCGATATTTATGAATGAGTAGCTCACTGAACAAATTTGCAACATTTGACAAATTAAGTGTGTAACAACTACCGCGAAATGGAATGACGTTCAAGAAGAAAAGGGTTATGGCGAAGATAAATTTTCCGGCAAGAAATCGTAGATAGATGCACGCTTTAACGTAAAAATGATACAAGAATGCGAAACATTTTTATGCTGACACTACGAACTTTAGCTAATTAGATATTAAACTTAATTTATTTCGTCTGCTGATTGATTCCGGTAATCGACAATCTCTTTCTTATCACTCATTTCTGTCAGAGATGGATCAAAGTCTACTGACGCCTCTCATAGGTATACTCGTAAACCATCCTGGACGCTCGAGACTGCCCGGCGCTCTCTGGCCCGCGGAACCACACACCCAGCCGTCCACCACACCGCTCTCTCGCCACCCAGACAGTCAATGACGAGCCGTCATCTCGGACGCACGCAACACAGCCGTAAATGGGTGGCCTCCACGCCTTGGGCTCGGCCAGGCGCTCCTCAGCCCGCACCCGACCAAATCTCCAGACGCCGAGAAACTCCGCGGCGGAACAGTCCTGCGCGGTGGCGTGTCAGGGTATCTTGATGCGTTTGATCCCGCCGTGGAAAACCATTACAGTAGTGGTAGGTTACCTCGATGAAAAGAACTGTTTAGTATTGCATACTGGTTCAGAACATTGCACACTTTGGCTTACGAATCCACATTTTGGCTGTAAATTTTACCTCCGATGTGTTATCTCACCATTAATTTAAGTCGTTCTCTTCGCGAAATATTTGTTCTCTAGGCAGCAAATAATTTCCTTGCTTCACTGTCCAACACAGAGATTGAGCATAGCCTCCTCCTTACTTTTACGGCTGGACTTGGGAAAATATTTTTTGCAGCACTGCAAAAAAGTTCATTAGTCGTCTGGGAGTGAAAGTCTGAACCTAACCTCAAAGGTCAGGTCACAAAGTTCGTGGCGCGACAATAGCGAATACCTAGACCATAAACATGAACTCTACATCATTACCAGTGATTAACGAAGCATCTTATTCAATCTCAGGCAACCCGATGTAATTCCCTTTCCGAGCCTGTTTTAGGGGAGAGTGGTGCAGGAGGCCCCCCCTTAAGCTCAGTTACTATTTTTAGACAACTGATAATATTTAAGCGCTAACGTGTGCATGCGCTGTGAGCATGCATCATTTTCCCATACATATTTGCATTCAAAATGAATCTAGGGGGTACACAAACCGTAAACTTTAACATTTTGGAAAAAGTTGCAAAAGGGCCTCTTACACTATGGGTATGGTAAGACGCCCCCCCCCCCCTCGGGCGTTTTAAAAGTCAAGTCGACTTGTAAAAGACGCTTTGCGAACACAGCTGCAAGGCCTTTTATTTCGAAAAGCTAAGCAAATACGGTGTTATCGAAACCAATAACACTTCCAAAGCGCTCGAACAATGCGAAAACTAGCACAACCAAACGCTGATGACCAACGAAAATTGTACCTATAACCTCTAAGAAAAGAAACAGAAAAAAGAAACAAAAACAAACTCCTTGTAAAAAGAATGCCACGCCTGCCGCAGGTGCAGGCGTTTTAGCATCGGGGGCGTTTTTTTATCGGGGGGCGTTTTATCATCCTCGAAGGGAGGGCCTCTTAAAAAAATACAGTGTTTTAACGTCCACAATATTTATGGTTTATGAGACATTTGCAGCGCACCAGAACATGGTCTATTCTGAAGCTAACATGTGACAATTTCGATGAGAAAAGATTGCATTTGATAGCCATTGTTTTTTCAGATATATAAGGGTGATAAAGATGCATATATCTAGCAAGTAAAGGGGCAAAAACAGAAACAGGCTTACCAAAAGTCGCTGCGACGCACCTGATACCTCAGGTTTCGTGAGTTGTTGTTTCAAGAGGGCTTCTGCTTTACAAGAACATTAAAAAATAAATAACATTATTGGTTTGGTAAAAAAAGCGATGGGGCCTCTTACCGACCCTGGGCGTCTTACACGGATCTCCCCTATACAGTTTTGGTTGTTCATATTTGTATTGTTATAGTCCGACAGCACTTCGGGCGTTAGTGTGGCAGCTCGCGAGACATTGACGAAGCTTTCTGCAAAAAGTAGACACATGCCTACACCCCAAGCTACAAGTCTTTTGATTTGATAGGATATGTAACCCTGCGACCCCATCACAAATCGTACACCATCTTCACTATCGCCACCATGTATAACTACAATCTCTCCTTTTTCGTTGTCAGGCTGTGTAACGCCACCTACGGCTCTCCAGGCGACTGCCGCGTCCTCTGCTGCGGACGGCCGTACCGCACCACGGCCGTGCTGCACGTGGAACGGTGCCAGTGCCGCTTCGTCTGGTGCTGCCGCGCCGAGTGTAAGACCTGCCGCAGCTGGAGGGACCAGAGCAGGTGTACGTGATAAGGAGAGGGACCAGAACAGGCGTACCGGACCAGGAGAAGTACCAGAGCAGGTGTACCTGATCAGGAAAGGGACCAGAGCAGATGTACTTACCGGATAAGGATCTCCAAATACTTATCCGAGGGACCAGAGCACGTGTACCTGCTCAGAAGCGGGATCAGAGCGGATGCACCTGATCAGGAAAAGGACCAGGGCAATCAGAAGGACCAGAGCAGGTGTACCTGATCAGGAAAGGGACCAGAGTAGGTGTACCTAACCAGGAGGGGGACCAGAACAGGCGTACCTTATCAGGAAAGGGATCGGAACAGGTGTGCCTGATCAGGAGAAGGAGCGAAGCAAGTGTACCTGATCAGGAGAGGGACCAGAGCAAGGTGTACCTGACCAGAAGGACCTGAGCAGATGTACCTGGGCAAGAGAGGGACCACAACAGGTGTAACATAAGCAGGAAAGGGACCAGAGCAAGTGTACTTGACCAGGAAAAGGACCGGAACAGGTGTACCTTATCAGGAGAGGGATCGGAACAGGTGTATGTAACCAGGAGAGGGACTAGAACAGAGTAGGTGTTTATGAACAGAAAAGCGACCAGAATGTTGTATCTAAGCAGGAGAGACTAGATTAAATGTCCTTGGTATGTGAACGAGAAATCAGCCAGGACATTACTTCAACGAGAGAGCGAATGGAATGGTGGCTCTGATCAGGATATTTGGGACCAATAGTGACCAGGACATTTGCAGCTGATCAGGAGAACGACTTCTGCTGGAACGAGAGGCAAACAAAAGAGGGACATTCAAGCGCACTTGAACAGAAGAGGAGCATTACTAAATTAATGTTCGGAGCATATAAAGTAGCAAAAAGGTGTGTGGAGTTGAACAGGGACCAAGACACATTCACGTCACAGGAAATGAACGGAAAGGCTCAAGCTGAATGGATGAGGGATGAGTTTTAAGTGCACGACATCGTATAAAGATAAAACTAAGGATACCATATCCACGAGTATGTAGGTTAGCGGACCTACTATATACAGTGATACTAGTGCAGCTGGTAGAAACTAGAAAGGTCACGTGAAACACGTACCTAACTACATATATTGGGAGAAGCAGTGTAGTATTTCGAAGACAATACATATGACCGGTAGACGCTAGAAAAACGGATTCCATGTGTGGTGGCCTAAGTGGTTGTTTAAATATTTATATATACACTTTTACGATATTTTTTCTTATTGCGGATAATTCAGTGTGTGGATGGCTAAAGGACGTCTTAGACATCAGCATCCTTACGTGCAAGCAATAAGCATGTGATAATGTCCGTTAGATTTCTGCATAGCCACTACGACCGTTTACAAATTGGTCGCGCTTGCTAGCCTCCTGTCAAGAAAATAAATTCATACTGCATTGGGAACGTGGCCAGAGATGTTACTACTTTAATACTACATAAGTATATATAGTAACATGGTTATGGTTATCAAGGTGCGACATGCTTCCATATGTGACTAGTTTACAGCTGTGTAGCAGCTGTGACAATAGTTATCAGCCAAAGTAATCGGCAGTGTGACTTGCATGTATGTAGGGGAAGGTGGGGTAAGACGGCCCAGCGGGGCAAGACGGACCACCAGCCCTCCCGGCTGAACCGCTGCTGGTATCTACTGCTTTATGCACTCACTATGTTTGTTTTCCTTCGTAACAATGGCCACCTTGAGCTCATGCTGCTAGGATGCATAGCTTTTGAGTTATTGAGAAAAATGTTGTTTTTCGTCAAACCGATCTAATATAAGAGGTCTACGGGTGATTCAATTACGGCGCCTTTCTTTCATGATTAGTTTCTATTTTGCACTTAACTGTGAAGAACAAAGTTATAAACTTAGTTATAGTCACACTTTCGGAAAGGCAAGGTTTTGCAATGTTCGGCTATTTGACATATACGTCATGATAATGACAGAATTTAGATTTGGGGCAAGACGGACCACTGTGGTCTATCTTACCCTGTGGTGGTCCATTGTACCCTGCATATGGAAAGTTCTTTTCCAAAACATTGACACAAGTTTAAGTAAGCTAATTTTTCAGGAAGGAGTCTTTGTTGCATGTGAGCCATGCATGCAAGTGCTCAGTTAGCATGCATTCATGCCAAACGACAATCAACACACATGTTCCCAGCCTTTAGCTGCACTTCCATCACACATGAGTAAAGGATAAAGGCTCATTTTGTTATTTTACCATTCTGGTTACTTTTTCTTACAAGAGTACAGAGCAGAAGTGTAACACACATGAACGGATAGCAGGCACTGCTGGGTGGTCCGTCTTACCCCACGTTTTTTCTTGTCTGAGTTTTTGACATGTCCCTCTTTAAGAGCATCCACCACCTAGGTGTCTTTAATTTGAAATTTAGTCTTTACACATATCAACAGAGGAAGGATTGAGCATTCCGAAGACTATAAATAATATGAATTACGAGAGCAGTGTAGCAAGATATGCGGCCTCAAACCTTAGCTGGTCCGTCTTACCCCACCTTCCCCTAAGTGGTGTACTACTGTGTTGTGCGACACTGTGTTCGTCTGTTATGCGGTAAATAGTCGTACCTTCTTGGTCGTACATATGTACCACGTCATATAGGTATCGATGTGAGCCGCATCAGACGCTGAATACCAGCAAGCTTGTTTTGTTGTGCTGAAAGGAATAAAAAAGTATGTTACTTCTTACCATGAGTCCGTTTGACCGTTTGCGATAATTTAGGCCTCAAGCAATACAGGCTTGCAATGTAAGCAATACGATGTATGTTTACGGAATGGTTGTTTCACTTTTGACTCATATTTAATGATGTTAGTGACGAATTTTATAAGGAAAGTACTTGCTTCTAAGCTAGAGATTTATATAAATCACCTTGCAACTTGCCGACGAAGAAGGCTGCAGAGGAATAGCATCTGGCTTATAGACCAGCAAAGTCAAGGCATATTTAATCCCAGCAAAGTCGTTTGTAATCGATATGATTGTGTTCAATGGAATTATTTGTTAATGATACAATGTTCGTCTGCCTTGCTTCGTTTATGTCAACGTTGTTAACATATGCACCTATCCTGCCGTGTCTTACCTACGTGTTAACATGTTTTGCGCAAGTAAACTGTAAAAGGATGCGAGTGCCATTGATTGATTGCATATTTGTACTAAGCTGTTGTGATGAAAATACATGTCTTTATTTATGATGCCGTTTGTGGCCAATAAAATAGTTGCTGGTTAACTGGCATCTCTCGCAGGCAGGCCATAAATGTCGAAGGAATGATTAAATTTGGTTCTAGCCCAACCCCTCGTCCAATAACTACATCTAAACGTAAGAAGCTGCTTTCCTTTTCATGAACTCGGTTCGCAATCCTCTGACGTGTAATAGGTAGCCTACTAAACGTGACCGCTGACGGAAACGGCGCGCTATATCAGGCGTTCTTCCTCCTCTTGCGACAAAAACACCCACCCTAGGGTAACCACAGCATACAAAATAACCCGTAGACCAACGGAAGTATGTTAGCCAACCTTTGCTCAACTGCACCCCTCCCTCAGCCGTCTGAGATGACCCGGACTCGCAGCATGACACATCTGTTCCATCCGCCCCGTAGCGTAACGGCCTGGCGGCGGCCAAACCGAACCGGTCCTGTTGCGCAACCCTGCGGCACACCGGCCGGTCAGGAGCGCGCCGTATGACGCGCCCATTGCGCAGCTATTATTCATCGACGGGTTGCCACAGAGGGTACACGGCTGCTGCTATATCCGGCGGGCTAAGAAGCGGCGATTATAGTTTTGAGATGCGTTGCAGAAACAAACATGTTTGTAAATGTTGCCGAGCGTCGGAAGCATTAGAAAGGGTACTATTACCACTCCATACTAGCATAACCTTTTTAGCCTTTTAAAACAGGCCTATAGTGGACGCACCTACTCTGTTTGATGCAAATGAAGGCACAATACATACAATACAGCCTGATAAAATGGACCTTCAGAAAACTTCTGGATTTGTTTTTGGCTTACATTAGTTATGAGCAAAAGGTTACTAATCCATCTGATTTCCATTATATTCAGAAAACTCAGGCAAGTCTCGGGTTTTGTGAGTTCATGAGTACGGCTCAACTAATTATGAATCAAATTCGCAAAATTTTAGTCTGGGTAGATAATGAAAGCATAGAAGTAAACGTTAGCAGCATATCATTTTGCAAACTTCTATTTTATCTCAAAAGTTTACATACATGTAGATCTTAACAATCATTTTGATATAGGTGCTATTTAGATGTATTTATTAGCATAGGTCTTTGGCGTTTTGTTGTTGTACATATATTCACTGGCTATAGCATCGTCTGAGTTGCAGTAAGCTATAACAGCCAGCAGCGCGTTTGCAGCGTCGCTGCGTTGCGGAAAGTGACAGGGTCCCGGGGCTCCCCGCCAGGTCCGGCCCGGAGCCGGTCTGAGCACCCGCCGCCACCGCGCAGTGTTGCGTCTGCCGTTTCCGATCGCCCCTCCAATGTAGGCCGGCCGATGCGGCCGCCGCACCAGGCAAGGTCACACCGTGTCCGGTCGGAAGCCATGTGGGGGCGGCGATATAAGCGACGCCGGCGGTCCGGTAGGTACAGTGCCAGTCCAGCGGTGGACATAGACAGACAGACAGTGGGCAGACAGCTCAGCTCGCCTCAGCAGCCATGCAGTGTTCGATGATGTGGACCGGTCTGCTGCTGGGCCTGGTGGTGGCCGTCACGGCGTCGGAGGTCAGCTCGGAGCGGCCGCCGGCGTCCAACGTCACCTCTCGGGCGCTGCCGGCCACTACCGGCCGGCTGCTGCAGACTGTCGACGAGCTGCTGACGGCGGCGCTGGGGCCGGCCGGCCGCGCCGCCGGGCCCGTCGGCGCTCTGCAGGCGCTGCTGGCCGCCGTGCCCATCAAGCTGGCCGGCCTGAAGGCGGCGCTGGTGGCCGCCGCGCCCGGCATCGCCATCGCCGCTCTGGTGATCGGCATCATAGCGCTGGCCAAGGTGGGCGCCCTCTACAAGAAGCTAGGCCTGTCGGCGTTCGACACCGTCCACGAGGCGCTGCCCAAGTTCGGCCATCCCGGCCACGGCTTC